TGTCAATCAACTACTGTGCATAAAAGCAGCAGAGCATATTACAGGCTACAGTGTAGAATACTCTATCAATTTTGACTAAAAGCAAAAGAAAAAAGTTATTAGTTAACAAAAAGCTGTATAATGCAATGTAATTTCAATTTATTTAATTAATAAAGAGAAGAAAGATGTTAACAAGTAATTTAAATACTGTATTAATTTTATAATAAGTTAAAGGGATACATAAACAAAAAGATTTTACATGATAGAAATTATGTTACTGCTACTTTTCAAGTGAGTTTTTTCAACTTTTAACCTGTAGAAAGTCGATGAACTGCATGAATATAAGACATTTTCAAGGTAACATCCCTTATACCTTTTGCGGTAAGGTGACCATATTTTTCTGATGTGACAACAAGACCCTCCAGCCTTTTATGAATCCAGGGGAATTAAACCAATATTGATTCTTCTTTTATGAATATTAATGATTTCCTCTAAATTTCTTTTGTTTTTTCAAAACTTAAATATTAGAACAAACACAAAATATCTCCTTGTTACTTTTTTTTTAGCCTGAAGGTGTTGGAATTCATAATAGCAGACTTAACCATGTCTTAAACCCACAAACATAGTTTTTATGCTACCCTATATTCTATATTTAATTTTCCCCAACGTATAATGTTTATATTTTACCAATCCTCGGTCAATGTAACCTACTTCTTCAATAATAATCGTTGAGTCAAAGGTTCCCACACAATTTATTAAGACAGAAAATTTTAGTTTATATAATGCGATACAGACAGTAGAGGTACGGTTTCGTGCCTTTAAATTTCACCGCTCATACTCTTTAATCAAATATATACACTAGACATCCGTGCAATGATAAGGCCCAATACTGGCTCCAATTCCCTTCAGAGACTTTTTTTGATTGCTATACAAACACAGTATTTTCTTAAGCACTTCCTCTAGGGCTGCAGCTCAGATTGTTCCCCTTAGGCCTGCCTCTGATGATGCCGACGTCAACATGCTGAGCCTAAGATTGTCAATGCTTGAAGTAAATTTTTCATAACAAGAATAGAATCCTCCTTTGGGTTCTAGATATATTTAACTACCAAATGTTGCCCCTTGTGTATATTCTTTTCACCTTTATCCAGTTGTCTGCCATTGAAACATGTCACCCCTGCTTTTAATATTTTTTTATGAAAGTCTTCCATTCTATCAACAAAACTTTTCTCCTTTTTAATTTTCATTATAATACCTTTAAACCATGTTGATGTTTTTTTACAAAAAGCTGTTTATTTTTCCTTTATTTTACAAAATGTACGGAAATCTGGCTAACTCACATCAGTAAAATTCCTCTCTCAATCATTTGCGGTTGGGGATATTGGAGCAAAAAAAAGAAAAGAACTTGCCCTCTTCTCCTTTTTTTCAAAATATTAGGACGAGAAACTACTTTTTTATTTTACCTGGCTAAATAGTGAAACAAATATTGGGTGAATGTTGTATTTGACCATTTGGCACAGAAAACACTAAAAGAAAACTACACTTTTACAAAAATATCAAGTAATAATTTAAAGACAGTGATGTGTGTAAAAACCTTATTCAATTTAATAACAAACAATTTTTATTTAATCAAAAGTTACTGAATTACAAATATTGGTGTACTATGATTGATAAAGTCTTGAAAGACAGAGAGAAAATCAAATCAAAACTCAATGTTGCCATACGAGGATCAGTTAATTATATTCTATTTTAATTAGGTAAAATCATAACAAGTCTTTACTAAAAAATAATTCTTGATTCAATACCAATTTCTAGGTCTAACAAAAATATAATGAATATACGATTCTGATCTCAAAAAAAATTTTTAATCTTTTCTAAAAATAACTACTGATTTGTTATGGTGTTTCGTAACACATTCGTGACATCATCATGTGGGGAAGACATTAAAGCAGTGAAATCAGTAAGAGAGAAGCTGAGAAAATAGGAAGAATTGAAAATGAAGAGGCGCTGTATTGAGGAAAAATCAAAGTTACTGGCAGATACAGGAAACAAGAAATCCTTCAACAAGTTTTCTGCAGACGCATTAAAAATATATGTACAGTAAATAACATGTTCCCATTCAATCTGGTTGGATCCTACATATTTTTTATTGGTGAATTGTTTGTGTAGGAGGCATAGTAACTTGACCTTGATTTAATGCAACATCATTTTATTTAGCATTTCAAGATTGTTGTTCTTTAAATAGTTAGTATCGGTGGTAGATCCACGGGTGGCAAATTTGGACTATTAAAATCCAATAATGTTATAGGTACTTAGTAAATCATGCTTTTAAAAAGTGGAATCAACAATTTAAATTGTCCTTTGCTAGTATATTATCTTGTTTTTAAAATTAAAAAAAAATCCATCCATGCCAAATCATTGCAATAGCTATCATCACACAAGATATGGACAACGTTAAGAAGTCTTGAC